AGAAAGAGTTTTTCAGTCTAGTGGTCCTGCATTTCACACTTCTGAACCTCCGGCCAGAGGGTAGGGAGGTGAACAGTCCGTGCTGGGGGTGGGTGGGATCTTTGAGGATGGAGGCAGCTTTCCTACGCACCCTGCGGTGGTAAATGCTCTGCAGAGAGGGCAGTGGGGTCCTGGTGATCTTCTCCGCTATGAGATAATTACCATTTTATAGACAAATAGTTTTTTGTAGTGCTTATATTTATTTTCATTATGGCTGTTCTTCTGATCAGGCTTAATTTTAGCCATTATCTTGAGAAAACCAATCTCAGAACTGAATTGTTTAATTCATCAAGACGGCACATAGACATTGTAACTCATGTTAAAGTGGAACTTTAGCGATTTTACACATCATATGCATGTGCATATTTTTTGGTCATTTTTAGAACTGTCATGAGTGCAACAATGTAAAAGATGTGAAATTGCTGTGTTTTCTTCTGGGATCCTCTTTTCTCTAAAGGCTGATAGAACTGTTTTCACAATGAAACCAATTTGGATAGGTTAGAAAGTATGGAAGCTTGTTTTTCCACATGAAAACAACATTTAATACACACAATAATGACTTGTTGTTTTCCAAAAATGAAATAAATAATGAATGTAGTCATAAGATGATAATATCCAAACCCATTTGGATAGGTAGTGTCAGATAACATGAATGGTAGTCTAAATTTTGGCAAATAGCAGCAACTATTAATTGCATTTGAGTTACAGGTCTTATAAATACAAAATAAAGAAAATTTACAAAACACAAATCTTTTTTGATAAGGTACATTATCATAATCTTGAAATGCTATAAAAAAAAAAATCTAGAAAATGTTTACATAAATGTTTTTTCTCTCTCTCTCTCTCCCTCCCCCCATACAGATTTGTCTGATATTGCTATTGATGTCAACTCAAAGAAGTTGGATGTAAACAAAGAGAACAAATATCCAGGTTCTCCTACAGATCATAACATGCAAAATATGATGGACAAGGTATCTGACCTGCCTTCAAGTCTCTCTGATACTGAACTGGAGGAAGGGGAAATTTTAAGCGAAAGTAATGAGACAGCTGCAGATTCTCCTGTCCCTGCAACCAAGCGGGTGAAGTTAGCACGACCAGTCAGAATTAAACCAAGTCCTAAGTTTTCAGATTTTCCCCTCAAGACAGAAAGGCTTGTTGCTCCAAATGAAAGTAGTGAAACCCCAGGTACATCGACATCAAGTCCAAAGACTCGTCTTAAAATAGTTTGCCCTCCAGCAACTAAAGCTTCCTTTTCCAACATAGAGGATATAATGGAGACATTCAAGTTGGTTCGCACTGAAATCCGGAAAAAATACATGAAGCTTCACAAAACTTTTCCCAAAAAGAGCTTTTTTGGCATGATGGACAAGTTTCAGGCATCTTTTTTAGAGTTTGTGGATGGTGCTCATTTTGGTCAAATATGCAGTCAAGCAGGGGAGTTGAAATCCAGGCTGAGGAAACAGATTGTATCTGTGTTTAGCAAAGTATCAAACAATGGTATTGTGAAACGCATCTTTGAACAGCAAGCAATTGATCTGAAACAGAAGTTGTGGGACTTTGTAGATGTCCATGTTGACTATTTGTTCAGGGACATTCACGTGACACTGAAGAGCCTTTGCAAACCAGCAAGACTTCAGGCTGAGGATATGAAGCCCAGTGGGAACGAGAAGGTTTCCAGACAGTTTTCTGTGGATAAGCCACAGTGTCAGCAGAAGGAAACACAGTCTCCTCCAACCGGTCTGAATCGAATCAAGCCTGGTGCTGTGATGCCTTACAAAACAGGCCTTGGAAGCAGAGGCAAAGATATCCGAATCACACATGGGGAAAAAACCAGGAATGTTGACCCGCATCCAACACAGTGGCCAAATACACTAACTGTAGCTAACTTACTTCCTCCGAAAAATATTCCTTCAACTCCAGAGAAAGATAACCTGTCTTCTTTGGTTGTCTCTCAAAATGGCACTTTGCTCGACAAATCTGACTTTGAGATTCTCACAGAACAGCAAGCATCCAGTTTAACGTTCAATCTGGTGAGAGACTCTCAAATGGGGGAAATCTTCAAATGCCTCCTACAAGGATGTGACTTATTAGAAACCAGTGGCATCGCAGGAGACAGCGCAGCCCGGGCCCTCAGTACTCCAAGGAAGGATCAAGAGAGACTCATCAGTATAACCACTCCAGCTAAATTTGACTCTCCATCTAAATTACTGTCTCCCACCAAATTTGGTACTCCCTCTAAGCATATCACTGCATGGTCCAGCATTTCACCTCGTAGGATGTCGTCTCCACAATCAAAAGATCAGATCCTGCCAAATTCAGCTTTATTTGATGAAAGTTGCTTGTTAGAAGTGCCATCAGATAATAGAGCGATGCTACAGTGCAAGCTGGCTTCAGAGAGGTCTTATTCCATTCTAGCTGAAGATCTGGCAGTCTCCCTCACCATTCCATCACCCCTTAAGTCTGACAGCCATCTCAGCTTCCTCCAGCCATCAAGCATGCAAATGATGTCCGCTCCAGACAGTGTCATCAGCGCTCACATAAGTGAGGATGCCCTCCTGGATGAGGATGATGCTACAGAGCAGGACATTCACCTTGCCCTCGACACGGACAACTCCAGCTGTGGCTCCAGCAGCAGTGTGGCCTCAGTGGCACTTGCCACATCTTTTGTGTTTCAGCCCGATAGGCCCACACAAGTGTTAGTAATGGAGAAGTCCAATGATCATTTCGTTCTCAAGATTCGCCAGGCATCCGCAAGTGCAGATACCACTATCACTGCTGATGAGAACTCAAATCAAACACTAAGAGAAGAAGATGTAGCCATTCAAGGAATTCAAGAACAAGCTTTCTCGTTGGACAAGTCACAGAATTGTAGTGCTTCTTCAAGTGCTGTACCATCAGGAAACAGTCTGTCTGACCATGCTAAAGACTCAGGGATCTGTCAAGCTAAGACTGGTTCAGATATATGTCTCACTCGAGATGAGAGCTTAACACTAACAAATGATCCATCCCACAAAAAAGAAGATACATCAACTCAACAAAGTACCTCAAAACTTGATTTTCCTGAGGAGTTGAAAAAACTGTCAGAGTCTCTGAAAAGTCTGCCTGAAACTCCTAGTTTGCACAGTGGTGCTCAAAGCTCTGATCATTTGGTTATGCAGATCAGCCAACCAGTGTGCCAGGCAACAGCTGGGGAAGGTGTCACAGACCCTGTTGCTGAGAGCATAAATCACTCGTGCCTTATAAAAGAAAACATTAACACTCAAATAAGTCCCTCAAAAGCTTTTTTGTCTGAGCCACAGAAATTAATCAGTCCCTCTGAAAACGCACTGTCAGCTAGTAACCCACAGCACTTTTCTGAGAGCTCTGAAACAAATCAAAGGAGCCAAACTTCACTAACCCATTTTTCCAGCTCAGAGCAAGATGGACTGGATGTGTTGGAGTCTGAGAGAAGTCCCACCATTGCAGAGGACATAAACGGCACACCAGAGACAGAGCAGAGGGATTGTGACAAAGGCAGAAAACGGAAGAAACACCTGGATAAATCAAATGCAAAGCGGTCCAAAAAGGAAGAGGTGGAGAGCACAGAAGGAATGGTGTCTAATGTGAACACAGACTGTAATAAGTCCAAATCCGTCCCAAGTTCTCTGTCCCCTAGCAGTCTCTCTGCCAAGAATGTTGTCAGGAAGAAAGGCGAGGTGGTGATAGCATGGACCAGGTCAGTAGCTGGGGTGGCATTGAACTACTTCCCCTCCCAGGGGTTTCTGAATGAAAATATTTATATACACCTTAAGCAAGTCCCCACAATACTTGCAGTGGTTAATGATTTTGTTTATTCCTCAGTATTTTAGCAAAAAATTTAAGTGTTTGCGAATGACATTAATCACAACACTTTTTTTTCATTAAAATGTTTATAGCAAATAACTGGTATACAGCAGTTTCAAGTAATCTGGGTACTTCTGTTTTCAGATGTGATGTGATGGCGAACTGCACTTTTTAGCCATTACAATTTTGAGTGTTAAAGATTCATTACTGAGAGAAACTGAAATGAGGCATTTCTGTACAATTTATACAAGAAAAACTAATGGCACTGTTTGCAATTTCCTGGTTTTCTGCATAAATTGGTCATGAAATGTGATCTGATGTTCACCAAAGTCACAAATATCAACAAAGAGTATTTCTAAGCTGATAAAACACAAACAGTCATGATCAACCAGTTATAGCCAAACAGTGAAAAAGTCACCATCACTTTGTCTGTTTAAAGGGTGTGTTCAATAAAGACATGAAAGATCAGATCACATTTCATGACCAACTTATGCAGAAAAACAGGACATTGCAAACAGTGCCATTACTTTTTCTTGTAACTGTATTGCTCAAATATGCTTCTCGTTCGACTCTGAGGTTTTCTATACATTTTGGTCATTACATGACTTTCACATTTCCCAACCTCTTTGCAAATAGTGCCCAAAACTTTACTGTCTTTGTTCAGTCCACTGTTCTCAACAGGAGGCAGTTGTCAGTGGGGGGAAAAGCTCTAATAGCTCACTGTACACTAATACTCTAACCCTCTAATGTATGTAGCTGGGGAGGACAAAAATATAGAGGCACCTCTGAATATAATGTAGTCAAGTACAGCACCACCTTTAACTATGTCCTCAATAATAGACATTTAATTGAATTTATACATTTACTGTATGACAATTTCACCAACTTCATAAACACAGACAATAAGGTGGAAGTCTTGCATTGGACTGCATATAATTGCACAGGTGTAGCTAATAGAGGGGCTGGTGAGTGCACAGTATAGTGCAAAAGTGCCATGACTTTTTCTTGCATCTGTATACTCTAGTACATGCTGTATTTACTTTTAACCATTTTTATGTGAAATTTCCTGATCATTTTTCTTTTACTTAAGCAAAGTTTTACTTCAAATTTCATTTTTTTTTTATTTTGAGGTGTTGCTTTTACTCTTTTAAAATATGAACACTAAATAAGAGTGGACTTTGTCCGGTTTCCTTCTTTTTGTTCCTTCTTGCAAATACAGACTGGTAATGCATGAGAAGTGTTATTTACAATGATAGAGCATTTTTGTTTGAGAAATCAAAATGGTTTCAGATTCATTTTTGGTTAGATGAACTTCTGCTCCCACTTCCCAACCTGTAAGATCAGACTACCACTTTGAAACAGCTGTTTACCTCATACAGCTAACTTATACAGCATTACTCAACTTTTGCAGTAAAACCTTGGAGTGTAGTGGATTTTCTTAGCAATGAGCTTAAAAAAAACTAAGCTGTCATAAATTGACATGTACACTGGCTGTTCTGGGCCACAATATTCCAGCACAATTCTTGACACTGTTCAAGACTTACATTTTGTTTTTACATTTGTGTAGGAGGCACACTTCAAGAGTGCATGTGTTTACCTGTAAAGACATGATGTAAAGAATTACTGCTCATTGCTTTATTTGTTTTGCAGAGATGAAGATCGAACTATACTGACTGACCTGAAGACAAAAGGTGCTTCACGTGAGACGTTCTCTGCCTTGTCAGAGAAACTCCATAAGCCTTCAGGGCAGGTAAGATTTTCCTCATTCTTATTCTTTTTTTTTCTGTACTTAATGACTGTATAGGCTGTGATAAAGGACCATCCAGTGACTGCCAACTGTTTGCCTTCTCTCAGATTGCTCACCGATTTTACCAGCTCATGAAGCTTTTTAAGAAGCAGGAGAAGATGGATACCTGATCCCTCAGAGAGCTGTGCTTTGCTTTATGTGGCAGCAACACAGACATGTAGGCTACTGTTCATGTGATGTGGTGCAGAAAGACGTGAACTCAGAGTGGCCGAGTCATTACACGTTAGACTTCAACAGTAATGACCCAGCAGAAGTGACAAGGTTGATTGAAAAGAAGATAAATTGTTCAGTCAACATCAGCATTACTGATTTGATTCACTTCTTGTTTTTTAGCAACACATACTGCAATCACTATTTCAGCATTGGTTCTGGGCATTTGCTGATAGATGGTCCTCAGTACAGCATCTACATCCTTATGTTCAGTCTCCAGAAGTCCTTGGCTTAGTTTTACATGTTTTCCTCAGTTAGAAAGTTAGAAAAAACTTCATTTGGATGACAATAACCTACTTCCCAGTGTATCCGCTTTTTTTCACCGAAAATACGGCTGACTTTTTAATCTTCCTAAAATTAGCAGACATTCACTGGAAACAACACCCGGCAGTACACCTTTATCTACGAGACTTAGTTTGGGTCTCGTTTTTTTAAATAAATCAGTGATATTACTGATCTTATCTTAATGTGTATGTGCCTAAAGGTTGTGTTAAAATATTTACATGTCCAGTTGATGTAGAGGACAGTACATTTATCTCTGTAAATACAAATTGATTTTTTTTTTCCTGTGGGCCTCAGTGGCACTTTGTTTGACTCATCCTGTTTCTTATAAATAGAATCAGGTACAATGTTGTAAATAATTCTTTACAGAAAATAAAGTTTTATTTATTAATGCTCCTGTCTGTTTTATACTTGTATGTATTCCTATCCTTAAAATTACCACTACTGTAGGTTAACTGAAGAACCCTCTAGAATACCTACTTTCAAATTCCTACTTCATCCATTTTCTATACTGCTTAGTCCCAAACGGGGTCACGGAGACAATCCCAGCTGGCCGCGGACGAGAAGCGGGGTACACCCTGGACAGGTCGCCAGTCCATCGCAGGGCTAACATGCAGACCAAGAAACACACACACACACACACACACACACACACACACACACACACACACACACAATCACAATCACTCCTACAGGCAATTTAGAGACACCAATCAACCTATGCTGCATGTCTTCGGACAGTGGGAGGAAGCCGGAGCACCCCGAGAGAACCTACGCAAGCACAGGGAGAGCGTGCAAACTCCACACAAAAAGGCCCTGGGTCAGCTGGGGCTCAAACCCAGAACCGTCTCGCTGTGAGGCAACGGTGCTAGCCACCGTGCTGCCCTCTCCTACTTCATTAAAATACAAAAGTAATACCACCAACATTTATTTTAAATATCAAAAGTCAGTTGTTGGTGCCACACACATACAGAAAAGTGTAGGTCACTGCTGCCACACTTGCAATATATTAAAACATTATATAACAAATAAAAGGAATTCAAAATGTACTGCATATTAATATACACAGTGCACATAATATTTTATTATTATTGTTATTAAGGCTGTTTTCTGTAACCAATATATTAGTGGGATACTCAATTTCTTTCTTCTACTCAACATAGCAGAAGGGCGTCAGTACCCAGACTTTTGCCCCTGAACATTCCTCATCTTCACCCTATTATACTACACACTATTTACTACTTTAATGTCTTAGGTTAACTATTAAAGCCACTTTAAATAGGGAAATTCTGAAAGTCTTAGTAATTTGCATCTTGTCATGATGTGAGCTGAGAGTGGTTGTTCATACCTCACACACACACAGCAGCAGTTGTGTGTCTGCTTGACTTCCACAGCTGCTACTGTTGGCTCCACTCTGGAAGGAACTCAATTACATGTTTGTGTGAACCAATTCAACTTAGATCACAAAATAAATGTACACAAATGTACCTTTGGTGCCCTTTACAGCGCCCCGCGCTCCCGACAGTACTATTAATAAAAAAAAACAAACTGTTGTGCTGCGCCCCTCCAGGCATTTGGCCCTGGCTGAGACATACTGTACATATATCTAACATTATTAGACTGTTAACACTGAACCATTGATGTGTAAGTAGAGTTTACTGTTGTAACTGGTGCTGTTTTCATTGGAACTAAACCAAAACCACAAAACTGCCACTAATGCAGACAAGTGTATTTTCAGGCAAAGTAATTAGACAGTGGTGTCGACATACTATTGGTCATATACAGTAGTTTACATTATCAACCCTAAAGTGGCAAACCTTGTCCTTGGCTGTGTATTGACATCTCAATTGGTGCAGTTCCAGTCTGATGGCAAAAGTGGCAGGGTGAAGCTAACCTCAGGGCATCATATGGTCATGTGGTGGATCAATCACTTCAAACTCAGACTCAGAGTCATAGCTTGCCACAGCATTCAAACAGTGTCAGCTGCATCACAGAGTTAGCTCTCACCTGTGTTCATGGGATGACAATTGATTCCCGATGTTTCAACTGATGAATAATGGCTTTATGCTGAAGCACACAAGGCAGGAACCCTAGAAACGGAAGTAAAACATTTTTTATTGCATTTCTACTTGATGGAAACCCTACAAACTACTCACATTTTCCTTTATTCACTGACAGCTAAGAATGGTGTGACAAGATGGGGGATTGGAGCTTATTAGGGAGTATTTTAGAAGAGGTCCACATTCATTCCACCATTGTAGGGAATATCTGGCTCGCCATCCTTTTCATTTTCTGGATGCTTGTGCTTGGTGTTGCAGCTCAGGTTGTCTGGGATGATAAGCAGAGTGAGTTTGTTTGCAACACAGAGCAACCGGGCTGCAAGACTGCCTGCTACAACCAGGTTTTCCCCATCTCTTATCCGCTACTGAGTCCTTCAAATCATCTTTGTGTCTTCTCCGTCACTGGTTCGTTTGAGGACCCTTGAGAAAGAGAGGCACAGAAAAAAAGCCTATCTGAAGGCTGAGCTGGAGGAGACAGACCCCATTCAGGGGGTAAGGCAATTGAGCCAGAGCTCAGGAAACTAGATGAACAGAAGAGACTAAGGAAAGCTCCCCTCAGAGGCTCCTTGCTGCACACATATGTTTTCCATATCTTGACCAGATTGGTATTGATGGTGGGTTTTATAATAGGTCAGTATTATGGCATTGGACTGTCTCCACTGTACAAATGTGAAAGGTTGCATTGCCCCAACAGTGTTGATTGCTTTGTATCATGACCAACAGAGAAGAACATTTTTCTGGTCTTCCTGCTGGTTATTGGTGGAGTTTCTTTATTCCTCAGCCTCCTAGAGATTTGCCATCTTGGAGTGAAGAAACTAAACAAAGCTTGTATGGATACAACATGGAGATGATGACAGTGTGTGCAGGTCAAAGAAAAAATCCATGGTGTAGCAGGTTTGTGTGCTCACTAACTCCTCACCACAGAGGTTCATGCAGCGCACACAGATGACCTGCCCTGTTGTGTCTGATGATCATGGAGTGATTCTTCCTTTAAATTTGCCCTCAGTGGCCCCTCAGTGCACAGATGGACCTGCCAAGTCAAGCTAACATCCAGAGTTTTCTGGGGGCTGTGGAGTGGCGCTACAACCTGGGCAACAGGAAGCCCTCATGTAGCAGTGATGATTCAAATGGATCTTGGGTCTCAGTTCGGCCCATATACACAGGACCTCGACCCATACTGATGGCCACCCACATAGAAATCCCAGAGGCCCTGAGGGACCTGCAGAGGAAGCACAGCAGAGTGAGTGTTTGCAAGGAGCTCAGTGAGATGAGTGATTCTCCAATGAGCGACCACTATCCAACAACCAGAAAGTACAGTTTTATGTCCAGAGGACTGTCAGAGGCAAAGCTGGTTACTCCAGCTTTGTGGAACTGATACTGAGGCCCAGCAGCTCAGTGAGAGAGATAGTCCAATGGTGATCCCACTGCCCCTGGGCAGTGTAAGGAGGATGTCCATGGTGAGAACAGAAAGTGATCATCCAGTCCAGTCTGTTTTTCCTGAATCCCCTAAAGCAACCAATGTCACTACTTGGCTTTCTGATCTGTTTAACTGTTAATGAAGCAGTACAGGTAATTTAACAGACAATATAAAGTGTTAATTAACACCAGGCAATGCAAGATAGCTTAAGCTACCGTATGTAACTATTTTCCAAATACTTTGGCTGTAGAAATTTGCTCCAAAACTTGTCTTAATGTGGAGAGGTGCTATCAAAGCCTCCTGTGACCCAGACTCATGAACAGCACTGGCAGCAGTGCAGAGATATTAGCTTCTAAAGGTTTTGAGTGGTACTGACCTCTCTAACCAATCAGAGATTTTCAGTTATTTCTACTTGATCAGTAAGTTTGGTTGCATTCTCATTTCTTGTAATTACATAATGACAAATATCTGAAGAGCTGGACAGAGCTTGGTGGAGCAAGGAGAGGGAGTGCTAGGTGGAGCGTAACAGATCGTAGTAGAGCATAGAGAAGCAGGGAGAGGGATTGTTGGGCGGAGCAGATTGGATTGATTTGGAGTTTCATGCTAGTGCTGTCTTAAGTTACATATTGTAGCTGTAATAACAGCAAATTAAACAAAGTGAATTTAATTACACATTGTAATATATATGGATGCCAACAGCTCATGTCAGTAACACTAAGCTCAGCCTCCAGATTGGACAGTTTTTCATTTTAGCATAGACAACACATTTCTATCTCAAAAAACAAAAAGAAAAACCTGCAGGAAAGTAACTCAACTATGAATTAGGAAATATTAATAGGAATTAGTATGCATAGCCAATCTGACTGAACAAATGATTATTTGTTCACTGATATGGCTTTATATTGTGTCAGATGTAGTAACACTAGTACAAAATTAAGGTTAAGGAGAGCTTCTTAACCCGAGATGATCTTTTATGGCTGGAGTAACATGAAAACGGCTGGCACCAGAGTCAGCAGCAGTGAAGGTGAGTTGTGCTTGTGCGTCCGTAGAGTGTGGCAGTCGGGTCAGTGGAGAGATACTGCAGCATGGTTGAGAAGATTGGCTGTTATTGGTCAGGGAGAGATTGGTGGACAGAGTGAAGACCCTGCTCTGGTCAACAAGAGAACTCAGTTGCATTCAGGTGTTTTTTTTTGTTGGAACTCAAAATGACATATTGCCCATAAATACCTTATGTACATGTCAGTCTCTTCACAGATTCACACCTTCTGATAACCCCTTCAGACCCTGTGTCCACTGGAATGGTCAAGACATGTTTTTCTCTGTAAATCAATAAAAATTTTGTTGTTTTTTTTTCATTGAACAATGTCAGTGACTGGTCCCTAATCAACCAATCACAATGAAGTCATCACCCCTAACTCAATATGAAAGAGTTTCTTTAATATAAAGCAACATATGAGTGTTATAATAAAACCATAAGATTGATTCTGAAAACATTTTGATATTTTATGTTTGTTCAGTCATGCTGACCATTGTGATGGAGATTTTTTTAAAAAATGTAAATAAAAATAGGCAGACAATTTTTTTTTTCGTCTGGAGAAGAGCAAATAACAGCTGAGCATTTTTTTTTTTCATTTCAATTGAAATGCGTCTCTACTGTTATTTCCATTGAGTCATTTATGAGACCTAAGGTATAGGTAAAAATAGTCTAAACCATTTGCACTACAAAATACTTTCTACAAAAGATTATAAAATTGTGTAAAGATAATCATCTTAACCCAACACTGTTGGTGCTTTGATCACTAAAAATCAGACAGAAAACAGTAGATTACTAACATTGCTGGTGCTTGGAAACTGAAG